ATTCCACAAATAAAATAAAATCAGAGAGATTCAACAAATAATAAAATAAAATCAGAGAGATTCAACAAATAAAAGCAGAGAGATTCAACAAATAAAATAAAATCAGATTCAACAAATAAAATAAAATCAGAGAGATTCAACAAATAAAATAAAATCAGATAGATTAAACACACAACAAAATAAAAGCAGAGAGATTAAACAAATGAAATAAAATCAGAGAGATTCAACAAATGAAATAAAATCAGATTCAACAAATAAAATAAAATCAGAGAGATTCAACAAATAAAATAAAATCAGAGAGATTCAACAAATAAAATAAAATCAGAGAGATTCAACAAATAAAATCGGAGAGATTCAACAAATAACAAAATAAAATCAGAGAGATTCAACAAATAAAATAAAATCAGAGAGATTAAACAAATAAAATAAAATCAGGGATGTTGGAAAACGCTCAATTCATGATTTGATATCATTCATATTAAGATTGAAGATGAAAAAAATCAGACAAAAAACATATTCTGTATCAAATATTTTTATTTCTGAGGAACAAACTGATGTCTTTATGCCTTAATACCACAATTAATATATATATATATATTATCTAATATGTTAATATTTCTATTCTTTATTTAACTGAACAATAAATCAATTTTGTGCAACATTTCAATCAATTAAATGTATTATTTGTATAGCAGCTTTCACAGTGTTTCACAGATGATTGACAAGCTGATGATAAGACAGAATAGAATACAAACTAGATAAGGTAGATTCAGAATTAAAATATAAAGATAATTAAAGCTGCAGGTGTGTGAGTTTATCATGAGTGGACCACAACCTGAAAATCTCATGTAAATTAGATCATAATCACCACACAAGGCTTACTTTCTATTGCCAGTAGGTGGCGATATCACTGACTATATATTGGCATGTAGATGAGTTCAGGGCCGGACTCTTATTAAACATGAAGTTTGGTGGAGATTGGACCATGTATGCTGAAGTTCAACTTCCTGTTTCATGACAGAAGCTGCAGATACATCCAGATATGTTACAGAGCAAACTAGAGTCTGTGGGAATGGACCTTGGAAAAACCTCACTTCTTTAAATGACCGAGACAAGTTATGCATGTTAGAGCCGGCGTAGAATTGTGACTGTTTCACAAAGAGGCTTGAAGAGCAGGCCGTCCCTCGCCATATATATATATAACAGAGACTTGGAGAATATACTTGGAGAGGTCAGTTTTAATGAAAAGATGCTGTTTATTGTGGAGTCCAGAGGAAACAACTGGATGTGTAACATTTACAAGAAGACCCAAATAAAGAACATCTGTCATAGACAGCATTTCACTAAGTTCATAAAGTTTCTTCTCACTCAATAACTCCCAAACTGAGATTTTTCAAGGTAGTCTGGTGATATTGCAGTTCAGTCAAATGAGTTCAATTTATACCCTGAATGGGCAATGTATCTCAGGAGTGAGAAAATACATTTATGCCCATTTAAAGCTGTAATCTATAGCTATAATAATGTAACATTTCCTCATTAAACAGTGTATAAACTTTAGAGCTATGTCCTATATGTAGTTAAGTTGTGTCCCAAATTGAAGCAGTTGTTCCTAGCTCGTTCCACTTTACAGGAATTTGAGCTTTTGTGTCAGACCAGCTATTCCAGCTATTTTTCCCTGTAATATCTAAAAAAAATGCCACAAGATGGCGACAAATAGCCACACTAAAATAACCTGTGATAGCAGATTGCCTCCAGCCCTACTGCCTGCTGCCAATGAACACCTGAAATCAGTTCAAGCAATCACTGCGCACACACAGTGTCCCTCTACAACTGTCTGTAAAGACACCATGAGGAACAAATATCTCAAAAAAATATATGTTTTGTACTTTATTCATAAGCAATGCTGCTGGATCCCTCTTGTATTTGTTGTTGTTTTTGTTCTTCTTCCGTTCTCCGCTATAATGTTGGTGCAGCAAAAACTAGGCTTGTTGAAGATGAACTGCCCCTCACCTGGAAAATGGACGAGATCAGGCAGCAGCAGCAGGAGGAGGTGACAATACGCTGCAGTCAGTTTCCAGCAGCCTTCAAAAAATAAACACAAAGTCACAGAAATATTTACATACCTGTAGTTTCAGAATGAGATTTATTGCGAGGTAGGTTTTTACACATACGAGGAATTTGTCTTGGTGCAATGGTACGGAAGCGTATTGCATTCACTTGAAAATGTATTTTTTGGTTTGTTTTTCTAAGTAATTATTTCTGTTTTTCTGAGTAATTGTTTTTGGTTTGTTTTTCGGACAATTTTTTTTTCTGAGTTTAGAGAGCATTTGAAACAAGTTCAGTCAAGTCTTACTTTGATCTGGGTTTAAGACACTGGGAGATAGTCCGGTCTTTGAGTCATATAGATGGTTTTATCATTAGTTTGTCGACTCTATGCAGGCACCTGAGGACTTTGCGGTTGTTCTGAAGGAAAGCCCATTCAGATCTGCTAGACATAGCAGTGTTTGTCCAGGATCAGCTGGACAGATATGGCATGCTCCATGGATACAAGATGATGCATTTGAAATGCATTCAGGCTGGCTACATGGTGACTCAAGAGACGATCAGGAGACTGCTGAAAATATTGGATCTGCACGGTGTGCAGCTGAGGCGCTGGAATCGCCTTCGGCGGCGTATGTACCAGAATCCAGGCCCAAACTTTTTGTGGCATGTAGACTCGTATGATAAACTCAAACCGTACGGGATCTGCATCAATAGTGCAATAGATTGGTTTTCACAAATGGTGATTTGGCTACATGCTTACTCTACAAACAGTGATCCCAAGATAATCGCGCAATTCTTCATTGATGAGGTGTCATCAAGGAATGGAACTGCTGCCCGAATTCGTTCGGACCTCTGAACTGAGAATTGATACATTGAACAAATGCAGATGTTCTTGAGGCACGATCATCTGGACAACTTTTCGCACAGATGTTATCTGTATGGATCGAGCAATCACAACCAAAGAATAGAGAACTGGTGGGGCTTTTGAGGGAGGCAGCAAGCACAGTTCTGGATGAACCTGTTCCAAGATTTAAAAGACTCAGACTCCTTTTCTGGTGACTTCCTAGACAAAAGTCTCATTCAGTTCACATCTTGAAATAATAGAGGTCAGAACTGCAATACGTTTATGTTGTTTTTTTTTCTTTTGTGCTATATTATGTCAGAACAATACTGTGACACCTTCTTAGTGGTTAAAGTTAATGTTTTACTTCACCAAAAGCAGTAGTACCACCCTGTGTAGTGGGTTAGTTTTAGTGTGGTGTTACTAATATCATAGGCCTACTGATATAAGTGAAAAGAGCTCACTCCATGTAGGCTTTATTCAAAACCTTACTAAAGTGAAAGGACAGTATTATCAGCAGTATATATTCAAAGTACTTAAAGTAGGAAAAGTATGTTCCCTGTCAGTGTTCTGATGTTTTTAATTGCATGATAGTTTACAATTGCAGATGTTTCAGTTGGAGCTCATTTGATCTACATTACTGGCTAGTTTAATGCATTATGATATCTACTGCAATTGGTATAGCAAATGTGTGAGCTGATTTTCTGACTTTCTATTTTTATTTATATGTACAGAGAACTGAAGGAAGTTGTTCACCTCTGAAACACTCACAGAATTCGCCCATGCAGAAATGCTGTGTCTTCAGGTGGGCGCCCAGTGATGATGTACACCCTACCCCAACCTTTTGGTGCCAGAGAGTACCTGAAAGAGGTATCCCAGCAAAAGATAGAAGCCTGCAGAGAGGAATGCCTTCAGAGAACACCGTATCCCTGTGATGATACAGTGTTTGACATTTGCTGCCTTGCCATGGCAGAAAACAGTCTTCATCCACCCAGCTCTCCAGAGGAACCATTGAGCTTTACATGTTCATACGTGCTTACATAGGAGCTCAAATTTAATGATCACAACCTGCTCTACTGGATCAAATGACTGGATGTAAGCCTCCACATAAGGGTAGAAAATCTTATCGACCATGAATTTCACTGTAAAGGGTATTGAGTTTAAAGAGTAAAATAACTGTGAACTCTTTACTAATGGACATCCCCTTTGTGCTTTTATATCCTCTTTCTATTCAATATGGAAAAATTACACATCAAAATAAGTGCTTACAGTCCAATAGCTGCATATGAAATATCGCATCACATGTTACATGTTGTGAAAAAAATTGTAAAAAGAGCAGCCTACAAAAAGGACAGTCATTATAAATAATAAATCAAACAGGTTATAATATCTTGTCCACAATGGTGTCTATGCTGAATGTCAAATGTAGCTCTTACAGACACAATACCTGTTAACACAGGAAATAACAAACCACTGAGCAGAGCTGACATGATGTAACATCAGGACCAATGATCTCTACCTGTTGATATTTGGATGATGATGGATGATGTCAGGAGGATGTTGGGCGGAGCTGTGCGGGAAATTATGGGATGTCACCAAGCTACCTGCATTAATTGGGTGAGTTGCCCCGCCCCCAACAGGTGCAACAACAACAACAAAGTGGAGGGATGAATAAAAATCGCTCTCAGGTCGGTTTCTGTTGTCCCCTTTAAACCATTGTTACTCCAACAAATGGTGCCCAGTGTGAGGCAAAGTCTGAGTAGTAGTATATAGTTACTGAGACAGATAAAACCTGTTATTAGTTTATAAAATGTGATGCAATATTACAGATTCAACCACCAACAGTATCTAAAAGAGTTGAAATGATCTCAACTACTACAACACTAAAATACGTGTTACACATGAATGCATCAGGAGTAATAATCCAACAATATCATATATAACAGTGTAACACTCACAGGGGACACTTTTATTAATTATTAGTACTTTTACTTTTGAACTTTAGTGACATTTTTAATGCAGGACTTTTACTTGTGATGGAGTATTTTTATATTGCAGTACTGTTACTTTTACTGAAGTAAATTAAAGTAAATTATCCACCACTGCACACTGGGAGTCACCAGCAGGTTTATTTCTTTAAAACTTTATTGAACAAGAATGACAAAGACAGACAGAAATCATACACTGTGGCAACATCACAGTGACATCAGGACAAGAAAGTTAAAGAAAAAGAAAAACTGAATAAAGTAGTTTTTACAAGTTTTAAATTGAATGTTTTACAAGGAATAATCAGTAAAAGCAAACATGTTGATAAGAAAGGAAACATTCAGAGTAAACAAATTGAAATTTTACACAAATAATGAGACAAAAAAATTGCAAAATAGAAAAAACAAACCAAAAAAAAGAGTGAAAAGCTGCAGATTATTGAGTGTTTGACGTCAGACTAATGTGACACTATCTCTACTGTACTAATGCCAACATGTCAGTCTGATCACTTTTAAATTTGTTCATGAAATTAATCATTAGACTTTATCTCATTTCAAAGAACTTTTGGACTCTTTCACTTTCAATATAAAGTATGAAGCTGGATTTAACTAATCCTTCATTTTATACAGTGTTGGATCCATTTGGACAGTTTTGCTTTGACATCATTTAGATGTGGTTTCCAGCATCATTTATTATCTAGAATCATCCCAAAACTTTGATTTCTTTTGATTTTAACCTGACTTATCAAAGTTTGTACATTTGTTCCAGGATGACCAAAGATGATGAATTTAGTTTGTTCCAATCAAAGCCACTCTTTACACCTTGGAACTATTTTTACACAGATGCTGAATTTGATCCTGAAAGACTCTTGTTTGACATTTGAACACATTTTTTCTTCACAGAAACAAAAGTTTTAAGGCAACAAAGTTCAGTTTTAGACTCAAAGTTGAATATTTGTTCACACTTTAATATTTGAGTCATAAAAACACTTTCCCTCTAACTGTGCTTTCAAAAAGAAGAAGATTTGAAAAAAACAAGCAGCCACATTTGATCCTAAAAATTTTCATTTTTCTCAGAGTTATAGAAGAAGATCAATTCTTTCTATCATTTCTTTATCTCTACGTCTGCAGGCTGCACATTACCCTCACACATGATCCCTTCATCCCAGCATCCTTTGCTCTTCTCTTCCTTCAGCTTCCTCTTCCTCCTCTATTACAGTAAACACATCAGGTTGGTACTAACTAACATCAGCTGTGTGTGATCCTGTACAGACTGAACTATCTGGTCAGCAGTGAGAAAGTTTCTCTCTCCCTCCTACAGAGGACACAGAGACACTGAGGAACCAGAGCTGAACCCAAACCCGAACCCGAACCCAGGATAAAGAGGTTCAGTGAATGTGGTGTTGAAGGTGTGGAGGTGGATCAGTGTGTCAGAGGAGACTGTGTAGAAGGACAGAGTGCCAGCAGGACAGTCCACATACACTGCTACTCTACCAGAGGAGGAGGAGGAGGAGGAGGAGGAGGAGGATGTTCTTCTGTTATTGTGACAGACAGAGTAACCACCATCATCAAAGCACTCCAGACTCCAGGACTGATCATTCCTTCCAAACCCACAGTTTCCACTGTCTCCTCTCCTGCTGATTCCTCTGTAACCCACTGATATAGAAACTCTTCCTCTCCACTCGACCTCCCAGTAACAGCGACCAGTCAGACCATTTCTACACAGCAGCTGAGGCCAGAAGTCAAATCTGTCTGGATGATCAGGATATGACTGAACCTCCTTCACATAAATCATCTTCCTGTTGTTGTCAGACAGTTTGATGTTTCTGTGTACTGTGTTTGTGTCGACTGTGAGTTCACAGGAATCTGATGGAGAGAACAAGACACAATACAGCTGCAGTTATTGATCTATCATCTGATCATTGATTGACACTTTGATGATGACATCAGAGCTGTGAATGAGTGATGTCACAGTGTGAAGATGGTTGAATGTGTGCTGCTTTGTTTTCACACTTACACTTCCTCAGACCTGGTCTCAACCATCGGACTCCAGCAGGCTCCACCCTGAAAGGAGGAGGGGGGTCAGAGCAGCATGGAAACATGGACATTACATCGCTCTCATACACAGAGCTTATTATCTGTACTGTCAGTGTGAATTAAACAAACTAATTAATACTTATCTTCATTCCAGGGAAGAGTCTTCTTATTGGCCGATGAATAGGACTCATTTTTTACTTTTTATGTTTTATAAGAAAATTCATATTGTTGAACTATTCATCTGTTTATTTATTAATCTCCTTATGTCCTGTTCTGAATAGAAGACAAATCTGTGTAAACAGTTACCTGACAAAGATAAACTTTGTTATTACACAATCATTTTTCAACTACTGACAAGTTGTTTCCTCCCAGTTGGGGAACATTAGTGTTTGATGGTTCCAGCTGATGAGCAGCTCCAGTCAGTCGTCTTTGTGATGGAATATTTTATAACAGTGTGATGAGTCAGTGTTTATTAACTCTGGTTGATTCAAATAAAACTGACATATCACCATGCTGAGTAACAGTCTCCATCATCAAATAAAGAAACTCTACCACAGAAACTGTTCATTGAATAACTGGCTGTATGAGTTTTACTTTGGGTCAGTTACACAGTTCCTGACTCCTAAAATTCCTCTTTGGTATGTCAGGTTCCAGCAGCAGAGGCAAAATAAAACTACTCTAAAATATGAGGATTGAAAGAACAGATTAATGAATCCTGACCTGAGGATTCCCAGTGTGCAGTGTGGACTCTCCAGTCCCACATTCAGCAGCTTCAGTCCTGAATCCTGCAGGTTGTTGTTACTCAGGTCCAGCTCTCTCAGACTAGAGGACTGGGAGCTGAGAACTGAGGACAGAGCTTCACAGCTTCTCTCTGAGAGGTTACAGCCACTCAGTCTGTAGAGACAATGATCAACATGAAGAAATGATAAGATATTCAAGGGATCATACCTGACAAGCTCTATGTTCTATGGTTGTAAACAGATGACACAGTGGTTAAGAACCAGCCTTTGTCAAGTGCTGGGTTTAAAATCTACTTTGGAAACCAGTAAAGAAATGTGCTTTCTCGTGTCGCAGGTTCTCATGGATCCTGGTGGTTCCTGCTGCTGTGGTCCTGCTTGACCTTCACTGCCATTATTATTGTTATTATTATTATTATTATTATTATTAGTAGTAGTAGTAGTAATTTTACCATCATCTTCATCATCACTATTATTCATCATTCCCTTCACTGTGGCTATTAGTCGTCATCATCATCATCATCAGTCATTTCTACCAGTATAGTTGTTGCTGTGGACCTTTGTCTCTGGGCTTCTCTCTTTTCTCAATCTGAAGAACAGAGCTCTCCACATCTCCTTTTCCCTCTCTCACTCTTCACTGTGACTTCTCCAGATCTCTTTATTTTATCTTCTGTTTTGGTCTGGTTTTGGTCTCCAGTCCTCTCTCCTTTTCCCTACAGCTGTCTCTCAGACTCAGACTACCAAAGTCCTCTCTCTCCTCCTCCAGCCGTTCATTGGAAGTTCAGATTCAATCAAATATCAAACATGTTTTTTTGAGGTTTACAAAAGTATTGTGGTTACAGATTTGATGTATATACCAGGGGTATTTAACTGCATTTGTCCAATGGCCAGAATTTTTATAAGCAAACCCTGTGGGAGCCGGACTATTAAAGTATTGTTAATATATCCTCTTAAAAAAGCTGATCTCATTTTTATTTGCCTATATCAGTGTGAACAAACTTAAAACATTAAAATCCATAATGATAGCTAGATACTAAAAAGTACTTTCAGACCTCCACCAAGGAGGCAGCTCACTCAGGAGTGATGGTTAAAGTCTGTAAGAATGCAGTCCTGATTGTGTGATCTGTTATTGTGCATGTGACACCTGTAGTTAAATATGGTTTAATACTACAGCTCACATAATTCTGGGGGAAACTAAACCAACTATTGGTTTTAATACAGAAGTCAGACAATAATTGGTCTTTTTTCATCAATTATCATTATCAACTAAGTAACTGTGATCTGATTTCATGCTGCACACAGTATGACTCTGAACAGCGACAGTGAAAGTAACTTTGGTTACCTGGCTGAGAGGTTGCAGGTGTGCAGCGTGTCACCTGCAGCTCTTCCTCTAACAGTTCACTGTGGCTGCTCCTTCTTGTTCCATTACTCCCTGACATATTTCAAAACTCATCCACTGTCAGAAATTGTCAGAAATGATGGTTGTCTTGGTTTGTAGATGTATTTTAGATTAACAATAGTTGGCAGCCAACGTCAAGCTCACAGACAAACACGCATTTCATTTCAACTTGATTTTAATTTAACACTGTAAATTTATAAATATCGAAATACTTCCATCACTAGCAACGCTGTGGGTGAGATGGGAGGCTTGTCGCCTGCGGGCCACCAGTAAGCTATGAAAGCAAATTATTTTTTTCAGTGGGGCCAATTGGCCCTTGCGCTGATATTTGCCTTCCTTTAACTAAAGAGCAACTATACTATGATCTGACCTGAGAGTTTCCAGTGTACAGTGTGGGCCCTTCAGTCCCACACACAGCAGCTTCAGTCCTGAATCCTGCAGGTTGTTGTTACTCAGGTCCAGCTCTCTCAGACTAAAGGACTGGGAGCTGAGAACTGAGGACAGAGCTTCACAGCTTCTCTCTGAGAGGTTACAGTCACTCAGTCTGTAGAGACAATGATCAACAATGAAAGAAAACAAACATTTGTGTTATTAATACATTCATAATAAAAAGTATTTAAGTAATAACACAGAAGTCCAACTCTGTCTGTACTTACAGAGCTTTGTTGGAGGCTTTGACCACTGGCAGCAGCCTCAGAAGAGCCTCCTCTGAAGCAGAGTATTTCTTCAGGTCAAACACGTCCAGATCTTTTTCTGATGACAGTAAGATGAAGACCAGAGCTGACCACTGAGCAGGAGACAGTTTATCTGTGGAGAGACTTCCTGAACTCAGGGACTGTTGGATCTGATCCACTAGAGAACGATCATTCAATTCATTCAGACAGTGGAACAGATTGATGCTTCTCTCTGCAGAGGGAGTCTCTTCAATCTTCTTCTGGATGTACTGGACTGTTTCCTGATTGGTCTGTGAGATACTTCTTGTCTGTGTCAGCAGACCTTGCAAGAGATTCTGATTGGTCCACAGTGAAAGGCCCAGGAGGAAGCGGAGGAACAAGTCCAGGTGTCCGTTTGGACTCTGTAAGGCATTGACCACGGCACTCTGGTGGAGATCTTTGAGATTCCTTTTGTCTTTAAATAATTGAGACCACCAGGATGTTGTTTGTTGTTCTGCCAGCAGATTGACTCCAGAGTTGATGAATGTCAGATGGACGTGAAGAGCAGCCAGAAACTCCTGAACAGTCAGATGGACGAAGCAGAAGACCTTGTCCTGGTACAGTCTTCTCTCCTCTTTAAAGATCTGTGTGAACACTCCTGAGTACACTGAGGCTGCTCTGATATTGATGCCACACTCTGTCAGGTCTGATTCATAGAAGATCAGGTTGCCTTTCTGCAGCTGCTCAAAAGCCAGTTTTCCCAGAGACTCAATCATCTTCCTGCTCTCTGGACTCCAGTGTGGATCTGTCTCAGCTCCTCCATCATACTTGAGGTTCTTCAGCTTTGACTGAACAACCAGGAAGTGGATGTACATCTCAGTCAGGGTCTTGGGCAGCTCTCCTCTCTTTCTGGTCTTCCACACATCCTCCAGAACTGTAGCAGTGATCCAGCAGAAGACTGGGATGTGGCACATGATGTGGACGCTTTGTGATGTCTTGATGTGGGAGATGATTCTGCTGGCTTGCTCATCATCTGTGAACCTCTTCCTGAAGTAGTCCTCCTTCTGTGGGTCAGTGAACCCTCTGACCTCTGTCACCATGTCAACACACTCAGGAGGGATCTGATTGGCTGCTGCAGGTCGTGAGGTTATCCAGAGGCGAGCAGAGGGAAGCAGTTTCCCCCTGATCAGGTTTGTCAGCAGCACATCCACTGAGGTGGACTCTCTAACATCAGTCAGGATCTCAGTGTTGTGGAAGTCCAGAGGAAGTCGACACTCATCCAGACCGTCAAAGATGAACACAACCTGGAACTCTTCAAACCTGCAGATTCCTGCTTCTTTGGTTTCAGTAAAGAAGTGATGAACAAGTTCCACCAAGCTGAACTTTTTCTCTTCCAGCACATTCAGCTCTCTGAAAGTGAATGGAAATATGAACTGTATGTCCTGGTTGGCTTTGTCTTCAGCCCAGTCCAGAGTGAACTTCTGTGTTAAGACTGTTTTCCCAATGCCAGCCACTCCCTTTGTCATCACTGTTCTGATTGGTTCATCTCTTCCAGGTGAGGGTTTAAAGATGTCTTCTTGTCTGATTGTTGTTTCTGGTCTGTCTGGTTTCCTGGATGCTATTTCAATCTGTCTGACCTCATGTTCATCATTGACCTCTGCAGTCCCTCCCTCTGTGATGTAGAGCTCTGTGTAGATCTGGTTCAGAAGGGTTGGGTTTCCTGCTTTAGCAATCCCCTCAAACACACACTGGAACTTTTTCTTCAGGTTAGATTTAAGTTCCCGCTGACAAACTCCAACAATATGTTCTTATTAAACACAAGAAAAGAAGATCATTAAGTGATTGAGCTTCTCTGCACTGGCTCCCTGTAAAATGTAGAATAGAATTTAAAATCCTCCTCCTCACCTATAAAGCTCTTCATGGTCAGGCCCCTTCATATCTTAGCTCTTAGTACCCTATTACCCCTCTAGAACACTACGTTCTCTGAATGCTGGGCTACTTGTGGTTCCTATAGTCTCTAAAAGTAGAACAGGAGCCAGAGCCTTCAGTTACCAAGCTCCTCTCCTGTGGAACCAGCTTCCAGTTGTGGTTCGGGAGGCAGACACCCTCACCACATTCAAGAGTAGGCTTAAGACATTCCTCTTTGATAAAGCTTATAGTTAGGGCTGGATCAGGTGAATCCTGAACCATCCCTTAGTTATGCTGCTATAGGCCTAGACTACCAGGGGATTTCCCATGGTGCACTGAGCTCCTCCCTTCCTCTTTCTTTCTGCACTCATTCATGTCTCATTAATAGGGTACTATGAGCTCTTTAAGATATGAAGGGGCCTGACCATGAAGAGCTTTATAGGTGAGGGGGAGGATTTTAAATTCTATTCTACATTTTACAGGGAGCCAATGCAGAGAAGCTAGTACAGGAGAGATGTGATCTCTTTTTCTAGTTCCTGTCAGTACTCGTGCTGCAGCGTTCTGAATTACTTGGGGCAAGCTGATAATAAGGAGTTGCAGTAATCCAGCCTTGAAGTAACAAATGCATGGATTACTTTTTCTGCATCTGTCTGTGATAGTATGTGTCTAATTTTTGTAATATTATGTAAATGAAAGAAGGCGGTCCTAGAGGTCTGCTTTATGTGGGAGTTAAATGACAAATCCTGATCAAAGATAACTCCAAGATTCCTGACAGTGGTGCTAGAGGCCAAGGTAATGCCATCTAGAGTAACTATATCTTTAGACAGTGAGTCTCTAAGGTTTTTGGGGCCAAGAACAAGAATTTTGTTTTTTTCTGAGTTTAACATCAGAAAATTGCAGGTCATCCAGGATTTTATGTTTGTAATTTAGATAATTGATTAATTTCATCGGGCTTGATTGATAGATATAACTGCGTATCATCTGCATAACAGTGATTCCTAATAATGTTGCCTAAAGGCAGCATATATAAAGTAAATAGTATTGGTCCAAGTACAGAACCTTGTGGAACTCCATGACTAACGGTAGTATTTATTGAAGATTCATCGTTAACATGTACAAACTGAGAGCGATCTGATAAATATGACTTAAACCAGCTTAGTGCGGTTCCTTTAATGCCAATTTGATGCTCAAGTCTCTGTAAAAGAATATTATGGTCAATGGTGTCAAATGCAGCACTAAGATCTAATAATACAAGTACAGAGACAAGTCCATTGTCAGAAGCAATCAGAAGGTCATTATTAACTTTAACCAGAGCTGTCTCTGTGCTATGATGAACTCTAAATCCTGACTGAAAATCCTCAAATAAACTATTGTTATGTAGAAAGTCACACAACTCTTTGGCGACTACTTTCTCCAGAATCTTAGAGAGGAAGGGGAGGTTAGAAATCGATCTATAGTTGACTAAAACTTCTGGGTCAAGAGTGGACTTTTTAAGAAGGGGTTTAATTACAGCTACTTTAAAGGACTGTGGTACATATCCTGATAATAAAGAAAGATTAATCATATCCAGTAAAGAAGTGCCAATTAAGGGAACAACTTCTTTAAGCAGCCTAGTTGGGATCTCAATAGAGCTGTGACTCTCTGTCAGCCTGGCCACAGTGCTGAAGAGGAACCTAGGGTTATTCTTATTTTCTTCTATTAGTGCTGAGTAATAGGCTCCTCTGGCATTACGGAGGGCCTTTCCATAAGTTTTAAGATTATCATGTCAAATTGAGCGATATTCTGATAATTTGGAACAGCGCCATTTCCTTTCAGATTTCCTAGCTATTTGTTTTAACTGGCGGGTTTGGTGGTTGTACCACGGTGCTAGTCTCCTATGTTTTAATCATTTCCTTTTTATAGGAGCGATAGAGTCTAATGTTGATCGTAGTGAGCCTGTAGCACTATCAACAAGATTATCAATTTCAGAGGGACTAAAGTCGTTATAGGATTCTGTTAAATTCAGACATGGCATTGAATTAAACACTGAAGGAATCTCCTCCTTAAATTTAGCTACAGCACTGTCAGATAGACATCTGCTGTAGGAAGTTTTGCCTAATGGCTTATAATATAATAGTATGAATTCAAAAGTTATTAAATAATGGTCAGATAGGAAAGGATTATGTGGGAAGACTATTAAATGTTCAATATCAATGCCATATGATAGAACAAGGTCAAGAGTGTGATTAAAATAATGAGTTGGTTTATTTATACTCTGACAGAAGCCAATTGAGTCTATTAATGATATAAATGCGTTACTAAGGCTGTCATTGTTAACATCCACATGAATATTAAAATCACCTACAATAATTACTTTATCTGATTTAAGGACTAAACTTGATAAAAACTCTGAGAATTCAGATATAAAATCAGAGTACGGTCCAGGAGCGCGGTACACTATAACAAATAGAACTGGCTGCAGTGTTTTCCAGTTTGGGTGAGAAAGACTAAGAACAAGACTTTCAAATGAATTATAATTTAGTTTAGGTTTAGGGTCCATTAAAACGCTCGAATCATATATGGCTGCTACTCCACCTCCTCGGCCAGTGCCTCGAGGAATGTGAGTATTAATATGACTGGGGGGGGTGGATTCATTTAGACTAACATACTCCTCGTGGGACAACCAGGTCTCAGTAAGACAAAGTAAATCAATATCATAATCTGATATTAATTCATTCACTAAAACAGCTTTAGAGGACAGAGACCTGATATTTAACAGCCCACATTTCATTCTCTTATTTTGTGCTACTGAGGAGTTGGTTTTAATTTTTATTAAAAATGTTATGTTGAACTCCTCTTGTTTTTATTTCTTTAAATAATTTAGGTAGTCGGGGGACAGACACAGTCTCTATGGGGTTTTGGGTGGGTGACTGTTCTAAAGAAAGCGCAGAGAAGTGTGTAAGACAGCAGCTCTGCTTCCTGGTCCCAACTCTGGACTGTCAGGTTTTAGAAATAATATGACAGCTTCAAAACTAAGGTTGCCAAACTTTTTTACGTTGAGACTCAAAAGAGATATCTGGTGTCTCCCAAAGACCCAAACTAATGGGGCTTTTACACCACTGGGTGATAACTCACTGCTTCTTTTATTTATAAACTACTAATAAAGAATCTGATACAATCTTCTCATATTTTAATACAATCAATTATCATGGCATTGTTATGCATTTTAATTTGGGACCCAATAAAAATGCGTCTCTAAGTTGTGACCCATTTTGGCCTTAAAGTTAAATGTCTAATTTATCCAGCGAGTTATATCTTTAGAGAAATCCTCTTACTGCTCTGCAGACAGTCAGCCAGCTCCTCCTGCTTCATTCTCCTCAGGAAGTGCAGTGTGATCTTCAGAAATGCCTCTCTGCTGCTCCTCCTCTGCTCTTCATCTGTACCATCCAACCTCTCCTCATCCTCCCTCTGACTCTCCAAGCATTGTGGGTAATCTGAACTCAGAACCTTCTGGATCTTCTTCAGCTCGTTCTTCACAAAAGTGACAATGTTGTCCTCCAGCAGCTGGAACAGAATATTATATGAATGACTCAATCAAAGTCAAATCATGGAAGCAAACATCAGATCCATGTTGGACAGACTGACAATCCACTGGTTTAAAAAGTGCAGCATGGAGATTATTGTGAACACAATAGATGTAAAAGTAGTTGTTGTCCATGTACAGACCATAAATATGGAGTCCAGGTGTGTTTGATGCTGCTGGGCAGACTGACCACTGGGAACCTCTGAGCTCTCCTGGTCCACTCTGTGGAGGAATCATGAAGAATGAGCTCACATTATGTCTGTCCACACAGAGACAAACACAAGGTAAAGGTCCATGAAGTGATATTTGGATGTGAACAGTGAATCTGATGACTCCCTGTAGTGGTAAAGGTTTACTAGTCCTTTGGTTCAGTCCCAACAGCTCTCACTAACCCACACTGCTGAAGTGCCCTGGAGCAAGGCACCTAGAGCCTCCGGCTGCTCCAGTGGAGCTGCTCAGTGTCTGCTTGTATCAGACTGGTTGTACTGGGCAGCTCCCAGTGTGAATGTGTTTGACTGTGTGAGTGTGAGGCAGCTGCTGCTGAAAGAGTGTTGATGCTCAGAGAACTTCATCTGAGTCAGTAAAGATTGAAAAACTGGAGATTTCACAACTGAGAGTCTGATAAAAACACATAATTTCGTTTCCATCTTCAGTTTGAAATCCTCACCTTTGATCAACAGAGTGGCGGCCATCTTTGAAGTCTATAAGACGACCCATAGAGCGATCACTCTTCATGGACACACAGCTGGGTTCAGGTTCAGGACAGTCTGGTCTCTGATGGATCCTGATAGAAAGAAATTCATTAAAGCTCACATATTCAGAAACATTGTCACTGAATCAAAGACTTTGTGAAATGATGTATAATTTGAAATGTTTGAATACAGGGCTGGACAATAAGAACAATGTCTTCAATTACTGACATTATGGACGTGTTACTGAACACAATTTACTGATGTCACACACTTCAACACACTGTCTGAATTCCATATAATTAAAGTGAGAGCAGCTACAACATCTAACCAGCGAGCAATCAGCTCCCAGTCCAGTCCAGAAGAGCAGAATGTGGAACTGGTCAGACTGGAATGAATCAGGACAAACATCAGCAGTGAGCAACATGAGGAAGGAAATCTGCTCTGATTGATTCAAACACATGTTACTGTTACATTTCTCATTATGAAGCTGAATGTTTCTCCTGATACTGATTTGAGATCAGATTGTCCAGCCCTGTTTGAATACTGACAACTACGTACTTTAGCTCAGATAAATGTCTTTGTTTCAAATGGAGAATCAAAGCCTTTGTGACATGGAGAAGAGTCATGGACAGTTAGAGATCCTCATCTCACCTCTGAGCTTTGGTCCTTGTGTCATGTTCCCCACACTTTTGTCTTTTAGAGGGAGGGACTCCCTCCTCTCTGTCCTCACACTGATTCATAGCAGAGCCCACACCTTCACACAGACACAGCAACCTGCTGGGAGAGATCACACATTATTTCATATTTATTTCTACTATCAGTCCACTAGATGGCCTCATGGAGCTGAAGGGGGGGATTTTACTGCTCTGCTTCATGAAAATAAAAAGTATGTTGTAGTAACTAACTTTAACCACTGGAGGGCAGTGAAGAGTCAGTTTAACTATTCTACACCTCCTTCTGTCTGCTCCTCTTTTCCTCCTCCTCTCCTCAAACCAGCAGCTGGCAGCAAACACAGACCTGAAAACTGGTTTTCCTGCGTTCCACCACTGATGACAAGATGTCAAACATTTAGTTGGAGCAGAGATAAGGGCTTGGTTTGTTGGCACAACTTCAGTTTTGATTTTAGTTGTTTTTACAGTGAAGGCCCTAACCCTTAAAGAACACAAAGAAACACACATTCATTCAAAATGTCTTCTCTCCTGTTCATCTCCCCTTTAACACAGAAAAACATCTTTAAAAACTGTTAAAAGTCTGCCAGCAAAAGTTGTCAAATAGTTTCTGTTGAATTTCGTTAAAATACAAACTGTTCATCTCCAATAAAATACCATCAAATAACAGATGGGGGTCAGTCTGATCCCTGCTGGGTCCTAGTGCTGGACCGCCTGCTGCCTCCCCCTCTACATCAATAAAAGTCCTGACTGTTGTGGACCACATCAGACCCCAGATCAGACTGAACTCATCTTCCTCATCACAGAGTCATCATTCAAAGAGAGCACGACTGTTTGAAAGCAGTACAGACTTTAAACAATCACACATTCACCATCAATGTGAACAGAAACCATTTCAACCAATCAGAGCTCCACTTACTGAACTTTTAGCCACAAACTTCATCAGTGTGCAGCTCTCTTCTGTCCTCAGCAGCTCTGTGGAGAAAAGGAGCTTCATGCTTCAAGTTCAACTTCTATCAGATAAAATGAAGAGACGTCACTGCTTCTCCTTCATTACTGTGTGTGTGTGTGTGTGTGTGTGTGTGTGTGTGTGTGTGTGTGATAAGCAGTGTAACTGGTTGGATTTTGGTGCCATACAAATAAAACTGAACTGAATTAGTTAGTATTTTGAGTTGTTTCTTAGCAATTTGAACTTCAGCATCACGTACAATTAAATACTTTTTATTTGTGAAAATGTATTTGGTTTGGTAGAAATTACTGGCAGAGGTCAAAGGTCAAATGTGCCTATAAATGAGTTTCAGACCTTCATGATGATATAAAATGTAGAAATTACTGTATAATGTTAGTAATGGAAATACTCTCTGCTCTCTGCTTTCCTGTAACACTTGAACGTTGCAGTGGCCCCAAGACAATGTGAGTCTGACTTCCTGTCCAGAACTTAAATACATAAATACATTTATGAAGACAACAGAGACCGACCTGAGAATATTTTTATCCCTCACTCCACCTTGTTGTTGTTGTTGTTGCACTTGTTGGGGGCGGGGCAACTCACCCAGTTAGTGCAGGTAGTTTGGTGACATCCCATAATTCCAAGCACAGCTCCACCCAACGTCCTCCTGACTAGAGGTCTAATCAGCCAGTGAGTGAAAACAGCTGTGTGGGTGTGCAGAGACTTTGATTTGTAAAGTAACTGAAGCTGTCAGATAAATGTAGTGGAGTAAAAAGTACAAGCTGTCTCTCTGAGATGTAGTGCAGTACAAGTTGAGAGGAAAGTACAAGTACTGTAGTACAGTGCAGTAGTTGAGTAAATGTACTCGGTTCCTTTCCAGCAGTGAAATGGACGACACATTGGAACAGAGACAGAAATGTGTCACATGTGAATGAGTCACTGCTGATTGTTCTGGAGAACAATGACTGAATAATGGAGCTGAGATCTCCTTTAAATGAGGAGTGCTCCTCGTCATGGAGGAGGATTTGGCTCCCTCTGGTGTCACAAACATAAAGTGCATCCTGTCAGTTGAAGTGAAACAGATTACAGACTGTTTTCAGTGTTTGGAAATCATCCAGATATCAACAGGTAGAGATCATTGGTCCTGATGTTACATCATGTCAGCTCTGCTCAGTAGTTTGTTATTTCCTGTGTTAAACAGCTGTCTTTGTCTTTGGGAGTGAAAGCAGCTTCACATCTGGAACATCTGGAACTACAGATTCACCCAGAAAGAGATTCTGTCTCTTCTTCTCTGGACTTTATAGGACTGTGTTACAGTCTATAACTATACTATACTATACACTGTAAGTGTGTTTCATTCTGCTGCTGCACACTGGAACACAGACAGGAAGTTAGGGACTTTATTTTGGTGGCTGTATTCTATTCTGAAAGAATTCACAGGAAATGGCAGTATGCTGTTGTTTAATGATATGAGCAGTGTTGAATGGACAGTGCTGCAATTACTCATTTTGGCCACTGGAGGGAGCTATTGCATTTAATTTCTGTTTTGGCTGATCTGGAGTCAGGTGTGTGTGTGTGTGTGTGTGTGTGTGTGTGTGTGTGTGTGTGTGTGGTGCGTGCGTGCGTGCGTGCGTGCGTGCGTGCGTGTGTGTGTTGTTCATGTAATATTAACAATTATGATATTACCAATATTAATTTTCAATATCAAATTTCATAGATTTTAGTGAAGTTAATACAGATTTGAGTCCATCTGACAGGAATACTAGGTTAGAGAGGTCAGGACTGACACAGGCAATGAGTCATTTCAATAATCACTAAAACTTGAAATAAAGTAATATTAATAATATCATTATTGTTACCTTTATAATTAGACAGTGCAGACCTCCGCCCTGTATCTACAGCTCTTACATATGCACTGTATTTAACCTCTGTCCCATATATACAGCACTGACTTCTATCCTGTATCTGTCTGTCTGTAACTTAGTATTATTGTCAAATAGAAATCAACCTTTGATCTGATTTCCGGACGCCAAGAGAGCACACGTCCAGGAGCACCACTCCGCTTGACAAATCATATTTTTAACACAATTCTTTTACTCATTTTACTTTTATCTTCATATTTCCCATTGTGTTGTTTTATGAGTTACTTTTGGACTGAATTATACCATAATGGCTGTATGTGCAGACTGTAAACTTCAGTACTCACTGCTAAGGGAGAATATCCACGCCTCAAGTCAGAGCTTCAGGAAAGGGATCACCAGATCGAAGGCTTTGTATCCATAACTGCTACACAGGCAAAGCATATTTCCCTTTGGATTTAGATCAAACTGCACACATATAGAGCCTTTTTGTTCCACTGATATAAAAACACAGTATATTTGTAGGATTGGTTGTATTACTACTTTAAAGAGAGCAGGGACACAGCCTGAAGTCTGAGTCTTACCTGAAAAGATGAGCAGCAGTTCTTTCATAAATGTAGTGGAAACATGTTTCCACTACATTTATGAAAGAAGACAAACATACTCCAGTTTATAAAGTTTTATTTGACAGTAAACATGTCAGATTTGACTTATACAGTAAAAAATATACTCCTTTTTTGCCCTAAACTGAATAAAGTAGATAAATTGAAGGTTTTATAAGCTTTCTTGTTCTTCAAAAGTCAAATCAAAGTTTGTACATTTGTTCAACGATGACCAAAGATGATAAATTTAGTTCAAATCAAAGCCACTCTTTACACCTTGGAACTATTTTTACACAGATGCTGAATTTGATCCTGAAAGACTCTTGTTTGACATTTAAACACATTTTTTCTTCACAGAAACAAAAGTTTTAAGACAACAAAGTTCAGTTTTAGACTCAAAGTTGAATATTTGTTCACACTTTAATATTTGAGTCATAAAAACACTTTCCCTCTAACTGTGCTTTCAAAAAGAAGATTTGAAAAACAAGCAGCCACATTTGATCCTAAAAATGTTCATTTTTCTCAGAGTTATAGAAGATCAATTCTTTCTATCATTTCTTTCATCTCTACGTCTGCAGGCTGCATATTACCCTCACACATGATCCCTTCATCCCAGCATCCTTTGCTCTTCTCTTCCTTCAGCCTCTTCTAATTCAATTCAATTCAATTTTATTTGTATAGCACCAATTCATAACAGAAGTTATCTTAGGACACTTTTCAAATAGAGCAGGTCTAGACCGAACTCTTTAAAAACTATTTACAGAGACCCAACAGTACCACCATGAGCAAGACCTTGGCGACAAGGGCAAGGAAACACTGCCTGTTAAAAGGCAGAAACCTAGGACAGATCCTTCAGCTCTAGGTGGGTGGTCGTCGGTCTCGACCAGTTGGGGTGAAAGAGAGAGAGAGCGAGCGAGAGAGAGACAGAGAGAGAGAGAGAGAGAGAGAGAGAGAGAGAGAGAGACAGACAGACAGACAGGTGCACAGCAACAACAGTATTGGCAATGGCAATCTAGCAGGACCATGGCAGGAGGCTCCACCAGGATCGATTAGAACCTGCGAAACAAGAAAGCACAAGAACTCCGGGGAAGAAGTGAAGTTAGTAACATGCATTAATGAAACATGAATGAGTGCAGAAAGAGAGAGGAAGGGAGGAGCTCAGTGCACTATGGGAAATCCCCCGGTAGTCTAGGCCTATAGCAGGATAACTAAGGGATGTTTCAGGACTCACCTGATGCAGCCCTAACTATAAGCTTTATCAAAGAGGAATGTCTTAAGCCTACTCTTGAATGTGGTGAGGGTGTCTGCCTCCCGAACCACAACTGGAAGCTGGTTCCACAGGAGAGGAGCTTGGTAACTGAAGGCTCTGGCTCCTGTTCTACTTTTAGAGACTATAGGAACCACAAGTAGCCCAGCATTCAGAGAACGTAGTGTTCTAGTGGGGTAATAGGGTACTATGAGCTCTTTAAGATATGAAGGGGCCTGACCATGAAAAGCTTTATAGGTGAGGAGGAGGATTTTAAATTCTATTCTACATTTTACAGGGAGCCAGTGCAGAGAAGCTAGTACAGGAGAGATGTGATCTCTTTTTCTAGTTCCTGTCAGTACTCGTGCTGCAGCATTCTGAATTAATTGGAGCGTTTTAATGGACTTATTGGGGCAACCTGATAATAAGGAGTTGCAGTAATCCAGCCTT